ACCATGACCCTCCCCCTGACCCTTCCCAACTCCCCCAGATCCCTCAGCGCTGGCTCAGCCCGACTCTTCAACCCCCCCAGGGATCCCGGGGACTCCCCCCCTGCCCTGGGCAGCCCATTCCAACGCCCAACAGCCCCTTCTGCACAGAAATCCTTCCTCAGAGCCAGCCTGACCCTGCCCTGGGCAGCTTGAGGCTGTTCCCTCGGGGCCTGGCGCTGGGGCCTTGGCTCCAGAGACTCATCCCCCCTCTCTGCACCTTCCTACACCCAAGCAGTTGCAGAGGGCCACGAGGTCCTATCTCCACTTCACGTAGTTGCTCGGGTTTGCTCTTTCCACTGTGTCAGAAGTGCCTGTGGAGAGTCCCGAGTCCGTTTGTGCAAAGCAGTTGACTGCCTGAGGTGGTCATTTCTGTCAGCGTTTTAATCCATATAAGTGCTTTAAGCTTGGTTCTTCCTGAGCTGATGGGAGAGAGGCAGAGCAGCACCGAGGGGTGCCCTTGCACCCAGCGATGAGGGTGGTGCCTGATGCTGTAATGTGAGCTGATAACAGCAGATGGCTCTCAAAGCCCCTCGGAAACCCGGGGGGACGCTACCCAGGAGCCCAGGCTCTGGCCTGGCCCTGTACAGCCCCAGCAGGTAACAAGGGGTGGCTGACTGGGGGTGCCTGGCGTGAAGAACTGGGACCAGTCCCCAGCTGGTGTGTCCTCCTGGTGACCTGCTGGCTTAGACATTCCTGTGACTCTCTGTTTGCGTGCATGTGGTAACGTCGCCGCAAAACCTGTCAGCGGTGCTGCATAATGCAATACCTTTAGAGTAGGATTGAACTCTTGTCCTGACTTAAACTCAAGGATTAAAGACTGCACCGGTGCCTACACCCCTCTCTGCTCCCCTGTGAGTGCCATCCTGTGGCAAGAACAGGAAAGACTTCACGGACAGCAATCTACAGATGGCCACCAGCAGACTCTGCCTGGCATAAGCGGGAGCCGTTTAGGGCTTCAGTCTACAGACACAGTGGTACTGGGTGAGGAGCCCGTGTCACCCCAGAGCGAAGTTCCCCGTCTCTCTGAAGAACTGGCAGAGCTGTGGCAGCTGCTCTCCTGTGGGAAAAAAAAGTCCCTTCTGGCTGCTGACCTCTCTGAAGTTTGTTGGTGAAGGGAACGGCTACTGCCAGGAGCAGTGATCAGGCTTCAGCCCTGCGAGCTGCTGCTGGCGTCTGGGTAGAGGCTGTAAACACCCCGGGTTTGTGCATGAGGGAGAGGGACTGCTGGGGCAGTTAGTCTGGGTATGCAGATATTATATAAAGGGATCCTGAATTCCCTGCAAGCACTCGCTGCCCTTCCGTGATACCAAGGCCAAGTGAGTCTTGAGTTTATGTGATGTGAGGCCAGGAACCTAGTAATTCCCACAAGGTCACCTAAGTGAATGCATCCTGTAACTCCCTAGTGAGTCAACTCTGGCTCTTACAGATACACAGGGTTTAAATGATCTGGAAAGCCTCTTGTAGCAGGCAATTTAGAAATGGAATAATGATTAATTAAAAAGAATAAAACCCTTAGGGATATTGGTTCTTGTATCTTCTCTTTGTGGGCGTTGGGCTCTGCATTCTTTCCACACTGTTCAACTGAGAAGGAAGAATCTTTTTTCATCTGGGGTGGGGGCAAGAGGGAAGTGATTGAGATGGTCCAAGTGCCCACTCTCAATTGTCAGGTCTCTCTGTTTGCAGAAGTGATCACAGGGAAAGTGGTGAATTTGTTTTTCCCAGGCTCAGTGCTGCTCAGAGGACCTTGCTGGCTAGCTCTTTCTGCTGAGTCACAGCCTGATCGCTGCCTGCGCCGTCCTAGTGCCGGGGGTGTTTCTGTCTGATTCACATCTTTGCAGTCCTGCTGGCCTCGCCAGGGGTTATAGGGGTGTATCATGCTCCCATTGTCTGTGAAAATTAAATGTAAGTTGACTTCATTTGGAGAGAACTGTCAGAGTTGCAAATCCGTGCGTTTCGTTTCAAGTTGTGAGGAATGGAGCCAGCCGAGCAATAATCCCCTCTCAAGCTGCAAAGTTCCACGCAGAGTCAGAGCTGGCGGGGGAAGGTCTGCCATGAGCCTTGTTCTGGCCTGCTCAGCACAGGCCTGGGTAGTGCCCGCTGTTAGTAACGGTGTAGAAGCATGGCTGGGAAAACTGCTTGTGTAACGCCCAGCTCCCTGCTGTGATCGCCATGGAGAGGCTTCAAAGCATGGCGAGCTTGAGAAACCCAGCTGGCTCCCTGGTCAGATGCCATGTTGTATTAGCGGCTGTGCCCTGAGAGGCGAGTCTGGAGGTTGTGTCTGCTTGGGGCTTCCTTATTTAGGACGGAGAGGGGTTGTCCTGTGGTCGGTCAGCAAGCAATGGCATCTGGAATTGTTTCAGAAAGATCAGTCCTGTCTCCTTGCTGGAAACCATTTTGAAAGCGATTAGCCCATTTTCTTTTTTTAGGTGAACTTTAAGGGCCAGGTTGCAAAAGGGATATGAGTAGTGCTGTAATGGAATTAAGCTACTGCAGAATCTGAGTATTTATTTCAGCTAGGATCATTATGGTTTTGCAAAAGCCATCCTTAATCTGAATTAAGTGACTGAAATGAAGCAGCTTGTGGACAGATGAGGCCCTAGAGATATCAGACTTGAAACAACCATAACCCAGAATTCATAATACAGTTGAAGTTCTGCAGGGTGATTCTCACTGCAGGTGAGATGTGAGAAATCACATCCCAACTGCTGCAGCACCTGCCAGGGAAAAGCTTGATGCAGTTGTGAAACAGGTTACAAAACTCACCTGTGAGGAAAATGAGCCTTGTCTTATGGATGAAGAAACGGGTATGGAAGATAAAGGCTTAATGCTTTCCTCCCTAAAGGTTGGTTTCCTTGAAAATTTGATGTTAAAAATAGTGTCTTGTTTCCACCTAGCAGCAATATAGGACAAAAAGAATGGAGGGGAAGTGTGAGCCTTGACTTAGAATGGTAGGATAAATTCACAGATCCTTTTTCCTATGAACAGAACCACCCTAAGAACGTGAAATGGCCAGGAGAACTCTGTGTGGTAATTAAAAGTCTCCATCAGCTGTCAGCCTGCTGTGTCTACAGGCAAGAAATCTGCCTATAGAGTGTTTCTCTGCAGTTTCTCTTAGCTGGTGCAAGATCTGCTGATGACTGTGAGCTCATTCCACTCGGGGTTCGGAGCACTCAGCTGCACTTCAGGACTCAGAGTGCTCCAGCAGTTCCTGCAACATCTTGGGATTGCTGCAGCAGCATCCACCACCTATCCAGCTCACAACAGCATGCACCTGCCGGTGCAGGGAGCAGAGGTGGAGGGCTGCTCCACCTGGGACGTAGAACAAAATGAGTGTCTTGCTGCACAGTGGGGCTTTGCACCAAAGGGAAGGGTCTGCAACAAGCTAGAGGTGTGTTCAGCTGTGGGGAGTGAGGGCACCTGAACAAGGAAGGGAATCTTCCCCCAGTTGCTATGCCTCTGACACGGATACTCAGCCCACGTTTTCGGCCCTACAGGGTGTTGGTGAGGAGGAGAAGCTGGATGTAGATTTGATTATTTCTTTGCAGTAATCTTGTTTACCAGGAATATCCCTGTGCTTCTATTTCTCTGAACACAGATGGAATCAAACAGCAAGATGTTGGGTCTTTACTCATTGTGCTTTTTCTAGATAGGACTGCTTATGATACCCTTAGCATTTTATTTTCAAGTACTGTGCCACCAGGCTTCTGTGGCTATGCCCTGGGCCAGGACAGGAATGTGGTCGCAGCCCCAGAGGACTGCCTGTTTTACTTGAGGCTGGCAGTACTGTGGTCCATCAGGAGATGTATTTAATTCTTGACTAGCCTTTGCCAACAGATCTTCTAAATCCAGAATGTGGCAAGAATGGCTGTGCCTAAACATCAGCTGGGACTGGCTAATGCTGCTTCTCAGCCCATGACTTCTTTGATCCAAAAGGGACTCAGTGCCTGGTGAGGACTCAGACAGGCAAAGCTGACCTTTGACTGAGGTGACTTCAGAAAGCTAAGTGTCATTTTCCTGAGTACTTTGTGAAGAAATTAGAGTGGGATCCCCTTCTGGTTATTTGTAGATGAAGAAATCGTCCTGTTAGGGGATGCTCAGCTGACTTGCAGTGTTCCTGGCACATCTGTACCGCCGGTAGGAAGAGCTGCTGTTCCAGAATTGGGCTCTAGCTGCTTGCACTGCAAGTTCAAAATTCAGCTTGTTCCTGGTCTCACAGGAATGGATCCCCTTGTAGCACTGTAGTATTTATTTTACACTTAACAAAGCAGTGGTATTTTTTTGAGAGATGTGTCTACCCTGGGAAAATTCTCCAACTAATTTATATTGGGTACATTTTAGTCAGTTTAAAAATGGGTAGAAATGAGCCATTTCCCTGGTTTTAGATGCTTCACCTGTTTCTATTGACCAGAAAAATATCCTAGTGTTGCATGTTCATAAATCCAGATTTTTTTTTTTCCCCTCATATGACTTTGTACTTCTGCAGTTATTGATACTGTAGTAAGAGAAGGGCTTTGACTTTCCATAGACCTTTATTCCAAACCAAGATGGACCATTCCTAACCCAGTCTGCTTTTAGAAACCTTTGGTGCTACAGGTTCTGCATCCGTTTCTCTTTTTTCCCTGTTGAGCTTTCCTCTTCACAATCTCTGCCAGAAGCCTGTTCTTAGACTGGACATTTGCCCTTGATTTGCACCTGAATGTTTCTCAGGAAAACTGAAACCTGGAGCCTCTCTGACAGAAGATCCCTCCTGCAGTTTCTCCACTAAATCCAATTACCAGGGATAATAACCCTGTAACACAAGGCAGTAATTCCATTGAGGGATCTCCACGGTGTCCATAATGCTCCCAAGCTGAGGCAGAGCATCTCATTGCTTTTCCAGATGAAGAAGGCAAGGTGGAGAGGGAACTTTTGGGAGTATGACTTGTTTCTTCAAACTCTCCCTCCACTTTCTAGTGCTTCAGGCTGGGTTGCAGGCCCTGTATTGCCTGGTGAGGGAACCCCAAAGCTCCCCAGTACCACAGGGTGATAACAGGTCACCTGTTGACTCCTTCCCACAGGTGTCTGCTGAACCAGATGTTAAAGCTGCCCACTGTTGTTCCTCCATGCATGCTGTGAAGTCCTGGTGCCTACCTGTTGTAGCTGAAGACGTGCAGATAATGGCTGCAGAGCGGCCTGCCTTGGGTAGAAGGCTGCTTTCCCTGTTAGCATGGAGCTAACAAACGGATTAAATTAAACCCGGATGGTTGCCTGCTGTAGCTCATCTCAGGGGTTGGCGGTGAAGGTAAAGGGATGCTGTTGGCAGCTAGTGAGCTGTTATGCGTCTCCTTGGATACTGAGGACAGCGGCTGACAGCACAGTTGGACCGGAGGTGGTGAATCCAAGCCCCAGCACACGCGTCTGTGCAGGATTGTCTAGCTAAACGCAGGCTGTGAAGAAAACGGGCTGGGAGAGGCGGTGTCGCCATCACCCCTGGGCTGGTGGCGGGCAGCAGCAGCACCTCAGCGCGGACACAAAATGGCGCCCAAAGGGGGCGGGGCAGAGCGCGAGCGCCCCCTGCTGGGCGGGGCCGGCTCTGCTGACGGTATCATTATTGCTGTCACACACCCGTTACTGACAGGCGGTGGGGAGCACCGGCAACCTGATGTTCCGCCACTGCTGCCCAGCTCTTCACATCCCCGCTTGGAATAACAGGACCTTTGTTTTCCACCCGCTGGATGCGGCTGCGGTTTGATTGCAGGAGGATGCGCGATTTAGCCGGCGGAGAGTGAATAATTTGGCACGGAGCATTCCTTGTTATTCTGTCAAGGAGTCTCTGTGTCAATCGATGGGCTAACAATTATGATCAATGTCAACAGGAAAAAACAAAAGACCACCATTAAGCAGTCAGTAATGTGCGCAGGCACGGAACAGCCTTGCCGCTGCCTTGCTGTGCCTGCCCCGGCTGGGTCTGCTGCTGGGGAGAGCAACCAGGCACTGCGGCCTGCGGACGGGACGGGGCCAAGGCCACAGACCCACCTCCTCCTCCACAAGCTCACCCTTGGCCAGGTCCCTTCTTGCCACTTTGGAATTTAATTACTGAGGCGCAGGATCTGGAGTCTGCCGGCAGCTCCAGCGCACCCTGCGCCTGCGCCCCTGGAGAGCAGCGCTGAGCTCCCGCGCCGAGCGGGCCTCCGGGCACGGACCTGGTTGGCTCATAACCGTGCTAAAGCTGCGGCGACTCCTCCAGATAAACCGAGCCATGACCTCCTCTGGCTATTTCACACTCGTGCTCCAGTGCCTGAGGCACGGCCAGCGTGTCAACGGGCTGGAAGCCCTGGGGAGCGCACGGTCCTGGCAGCAGAGAAGGACCAGGAGGGCTGCTCGGGCGGCCCCGGCTCAGCAGAGCCAAGGCCAGGCTGGAACTAGTGTCCAGCTTTAGAAGGTCTGCTCCTCTGGCTCCTCTTCAGGCGCCTGCAGTGGCCAGATCGCTCCCAGCTCCTACACGACATCCCTGTGCTGGTGAGCAGAGCGGCTGGCTCGTGCCAAGGGGCCGTGCCACGCGGGGCTGGGGCTCGGTGCGAGCGGGCACGTCGTGGGCTGGCAGCACCTCCTGGAATTAATGCAGCTCAGACACACCTGATGTGCCATTCCAGGGAGATGCGAGAG